TTTCAAACTTCGTCGGGAATATGAAGTGCTCATTCAGATGTTTTGCATAAAATGTAAATTTCGTGTGAATTTGAGTAAGCCTTTCACATCTTGCTGTGCGTGTTGTATATTGATTTATATATGATTATTTTATATGATTGGTCAAATACGTCTAAATGACCTATTTCTTTGTTGCCAACAGGTGGATATAATTTCACGGGAAAATAAATTATTCATTTATTAACGTGAACATTACCTACATGCCGCATTGGAGGCGTCGGTACCTGCGTAATAAAGAATCCCTAATTTCCTTCAATAATAATCTATTACAATGATACACTGTAGGAATTATCTCTGATGGGGAATTAATGTCCCAGCTGCGTACAGCAGAATAATCTAAATCTTATGTCCAACAATTTTTGAGAAGCTTTTAATTTCAAAAATGCGAACGACTGAAGAGTGGGTTTTAATTTTTTCGTTGATTCTAAAAAGTGTAGATGAAAGCGTCTGCAGGAGATTAATTTTTTTCATGGCAGGTCTTATTTGTTATCGTTTTGGAATAAAAAGGTTACGCATTTGTCACTCTCTAAGTATACTTGACACACCATAATTGCTTTTGACCTCCGTAATGAGCGCATTTGTTAGTAGGACGTACGGTTTTATTAACTGCCTTAATTTCTTATGGAAATAAAGTGAAGTATGTTTTTGGAAAATAAATTTCTTATCCTTACAATTTAGCGACGATCAATGTTGTTATATGCTACAATAACACTAAATTGTTCGGCGTTATACAGCAAAATCATTAAAGAGGAGTAACTGTGACGTAAATTGTCCTTTAGCCGAATTAGGAACTCGAGTAAGAACTACAATAAAGTTTCATAACGCTGTAAATACCGCATCTTCGATTGTAAATGAAGTTTAATGAAAACTTAAAACAGCGCAATTTTCTGCTGTTCATTAAATTTAGTTTCTTCGAGCGATTCATTAAACAAATTAAAGTGGAGGCTCGCTTGTTGTGTCGGGGAATTAAGAAAGTGAAAAGTTTTAAGCACCGCGTTTTAAGAGTCCATTAACCAAACTTCATTTTTTATCGAAAAATCAATATTCTTATTCTCGTGTATGTCATGAATATAACAACCTTAATACCTTTAAGTCCAATCTGATTGGACGAAAAGTTTGATTACTAATAAGTACTTTGTAAATGGTTTATTAAAACATTACACCCGTGTTGTTTCATGTAGAAGTATACGTACTAATCAATGTTGTACATCAGGTAGATACTCGTAGCATTGATCAACTCCCTGGTTTTGATCGGAAAATGACAATTTTGAATTAGAATTTCAGGTGTATTGATCTTCAACAATTTTTAAAGTAATATGAGATGCGAACTCTAAAAATTTAATGGAAAAGGGAATTTTTAAAGTTATCCTTGTGTAACAACGTGACGTATAACTTTCTCGTAGTCCTCCATGTGTAACAGATTTATGTTTCAAATAAAATTAATTCCCCCAATATATCAAGCATATTACATCCTTTTAACAGCTTTAAACATTTAATCCTTTGTATATTATTTATGTGTTAGTTCAGAGTGTAGACGTTTATAAATTTGTACAGTCTGCGAGTCCTTTTTTTCTGTTACAATAACATCCTAATGCAAAAAATTTTTTGGAAGAAAATCCCCTGGGAAATCGCGATGGTTTTGCTTTTGGAATAGATATTACTCCTATTTCGCTGAACAGTATTAGCAAAATGGTGTACGTAACCGCAATGATGAAAAATTGTTTTTGACTATATTGGTTCACGTGGTTGTCGATATTCTACATCAGTTTATCATCATAATCGTTCGTATTTGATAAAATATTATAGGCAAAATCAGAAACTGTATGAAAACGTAGTTCACTTGAAGGTTGGTAAAAACTCTGAAAAGGTCCACAGGTTCCTGGAGGCCATTTTAAATCACCGTATCCGACATCACATCAGGTATGACTGTCCTACATCCTCAAAACGAGGTCATAAAGGGAAATCAATGAAATACGTGTGCAGAATTTGGATGAAATTCGTGTTTTTTGCCAAAATTAATCAAATCTTGGATAAATGGAGCCATAATTTCACCACATCCTAGCAGGTGATTATTTCCATTCCTCTCACCGATTATCTCAAGTGGCATTAGTTTTATTAGCTTCTGGCAAATTATAACGAAAATAAACTTGTAATAAATATAGCATACGAGCTGCTGAAACACTGAAAATTTAATCAGTTCTTCCTTTCCTGATAATAAACATAATACTGAAAACCGAGTTGGAAAATTCTGACTGCAGGCTGCTTGCTCTGGTAAGCCAGACCAGAATCCATTTTCTTTAAACCAAATTGGGACCTACACGGTTAGTGCTTCCGTGGCCCGCTAACGAATGCATCATCTACTCCACACCCTACCTATTTTTTTTAAATTAACGTCGTTTTCAAGATGGCATCTACTGATCTAGTGATAGGAATCACGGTACCTACGTACTCAATTGTTTGCTGAATTGCAATTTTACAATGTGGACAATGATCTCATAGCTGCGTAGGTTTCTGTCAGCTGTGATTACAACTACTGAGATAAGATTATTCTTATTATCTTCGAATTTCTGGAGCCGACGATCTTCGGGAACCATTATGAGAACAACACAGAACAAAAGTATGACTTCCAGTTAAAAAATGGAATCTGCCAACTTCTCCACAAATCTAAATTTACTGAAATTTTGAAATTACCAAGCCTATGCTTCTACTACCCTACTCACTCTCTGCTAACAAACCTCTAAATACTGTCCGAAATTACTAGGTACGTTATAAAAAAATCGAAAAAAAATGAACAAAATTAGGAGCTACCGTTACATAATATATTCCTCATTTTCATATTCCATATGATGTGCGTATCTTGTTATAAATTTTGAATGATTGCATACAGCAGCAAGAGCCTTAGCTATATAATCTAAAGCATGGCCTAATAAGAGTATTAGGCCATGATCTAAAGTATGGTACCTATCAAAATCCATCCCATTAAGGTAAAAATTGCAACCTAACCATCTGCCTTATATAAAATTGCAATTCTAAATGCATTGTCAAAGTGGCAGCACCTGCAACATTTTAAAGGGTGTCATACCGATCGATTTTCATGGATTTTGTAGGTACCTATACAGGATATCGGAATAACACGTATTTTAAATACATTTCAAATTTTAATCCACGCGTGTGGCCAAGGAGACATATAGAAACAGTGTTCGAGTCCTATTTTCTTATAAATATTATTGATAAAGGGAACATCGAGGGGAACATGATAACATACGTACGATAGTGTTCCTTCAAATTGAGCTTTAGATTTTCTTAAAATCCGTTGCTATCTAACTTCCAATTTGCCAAGTTTAGCAAATTTATAAAATGACTGAAATATGAAATTTGGTCTTTACCAGCAACCGACCCCCTGAAGATCATCAATTGCGGCTTAAATTATATGACTAGCTTGTAATTACAAAAGAGGAGCGGTACTGAATTACTTTCTGTCCCTATTGATTTTTGTATAATTTAATTTTAGCGAGTAATTCGCTTTGAAAATTAATCAAACTTAATCAAATTACTTCTTACGAATGTATTTCTAACTTAGTGCTGAAGCTCAGTTTTATGAAACGTAAACTTTTACAACCACAACTAATTTCTTAGTTGAAATTGGATATAATTAATTTTAGTCCACTTGATAGTATTATACGGTGGTGGATTGTACAAATTATTGCAAAGCAGTCACTTTCTTTGCAAAAGAGGGCATTTCAGCTTTCCGAACGTCAAATAAACTATTGGGTTATGTTCATTCTGTCTCTATTTTTGCAATAAAATAATAAAATAGGAATTACTTTTTGGCATTCGTGTCAGTGATTTCGAGATCAGATTTTTACGATTATATCCTACTGCGGATTAAATATTTCTATAACTGACCGAGTGTAATTATATTCGAGCATGATACTACAAAGTTGTAGTATCATGATATTCGAGGCTTATCTGAATCTGATATAGGTAGATACAGTGACACGCAAATGTAAAGTTGTATTACAAAATAGGTATTCCGATTGCATCTATTCTCATACCTAAATTTCATTGGAACACCATTTTTGGGAATTGAAACACAGCTTGTGAACTGTTATAGTATAACCTACTTTACAAAAAAAAAGGTAACAAGGATAAAACAAAGGTCAAATACGAAAAATTCCACTAGCTTACGCTTCTAATAAATAAATAGCGTTACCCGAATATGCTGATTTTTAACACATAGCTTTGCCTTGGGGAATAATGCAATCTAATAATAAATAATGAAATACGAGTCACAGGTCCACTAAAAGCATCGGTATCAATTTTCGTTAAATGTGGTTCTTGGTGAGATTTCTAATCCTCAGACGGATGGATGGGTCGACGGACGGAATTACGCATTTTTCTTCAAAATGTGCTGAAATTGATTAACGAAATCATTTTCTGTTTTTACAACGGACACATGTTTCTGTTCTTAAAAGTAACACAAAGGAAAATAATTATCGAAAATAAATAAACTTTTCGAAAGTAT